TACTCGCCCTACAAAGAAATTGTATGTTGAGCTTTCATAAGAAGTTTTGCTACAGATTTTCTCAATCAAAGTGGTGAGCTTTAGCATAGAATAGAGTAATATCAAGAAGTTTCCCTCTCATTCTCCTCTTAAAAGAGATTGATTTTTTTTCCTTCAAGTTTATGGTAAAACGTGGACAGTTGTCCGGAATGGCACGACCTCTGTGAAAGAGGAGATGGCCATCCACTTGCCCTGTGCCCACAGAAGCCACAGCAGTGGGGGGCATCTGCTTTTTCAAAGGGAATGGAGGCCGGTGGGTGGCCTGGGCCTTGGCTTTGCCTCTGGGCAGCGCCCTGTGGTGTGGGGGCTGCCACATGGGTGTCTCCCCTCGGTCTTGGCTCTGGGAAGTGTCCCACACAGTGCTGTGACTGCTGACACATAGGCACTTCCCACATTCTCAGGCAGGCAGTGTCCTACAGCTAAATTCCCTTCTTTATTTTGGAAGGACACTGAGGAAGTTAATTCTAAGTATGAGACAGCAGTTTGGGGAGGTTGGGAGGGATGACACTGCCTGGGCTCTGAGAGGAGCCCATCCCTCCAGCTGACCTCACTTCCCCCACGACCTACTTTCCCTGGCATCCTTGCTGGAGCTCAGCAGGCCTCGTGTACTTCATGGGGCTGCTGCTGCCTGAAATCTTTCTAAATGCTGGTGCTCTCTATCTCGCTGAGTCTGTAGATATGTGCCTGACTATACTGGCTAATCGTCCACTGGGGACCATGTTTCCAGCCTGGGTCTTATTTTTTAACAGCAGGGTTTATTTGCCCTTTTTTTTAAGGGCCCAATTTCATAAGGCTGCTCTGCTTAGTTAGCAGTACCCTGAATTTTTCAAAAGCACCCCTGCCTGCGTAAAGGCTGCTTTTAAAGTGACTGTCATCTTTTAAAGTTAATGAACATTTAGGGAGCACTTGGTTGAGGCTAGGGCAATTTATATGTAGTGCTTTAAGAAGCATTTTTTAATAAGAGAAATAAAAGTACCCATACGTGCACTGAGCATAACTGAGTCATACCTAGGGTGGTAAATGTGCATACCACATATCTTGCCCTGCCTGCCTGCGTGTGCCTAGGCATATATACCTGGCAGAATCAGGGAACAGACTACATGAAGCCCACCTGCTCATTCATTCACGAGCTCATTTACTCACTCAACCATTTGTCAAACACCTATTCTCTGCAAGATGCTTTGCTATAAGATAGCACAAGATTAAAAGATATAAAAATGTATGAAACTATATTAGTCCCTACTCTTAAAAGCTTATACTCTTGTATAGGATAGTTTCATGATCCAGGGTAAGACACATACTTGACACCTCCATAACTACGCATGTGCACACACGCACACGCATCCCTACCCAAAGTTTAGCAAGCCAACAAACAACCCTTATAACCTATGATGTGCTCTCATCTTGTCTGGTCTTTCATTTTATAACCACTAAGTTGACTTCACAGCCTACCTGTGCTTTGAAAAATAGTGCTCTAGGAGACACAGACACAGTAACAAAGGAGTTAAGAGCTCTGCGGAGTGCTGGCCTCTCTTCGCAGGTGTCATAACAGAGCAGAGGTCTTCCTCCCAGGCCAGGAAGGCAGACAAAGAGGCAGTGCTTTCACTTCGCCTTCTGCTGCAGACACCCCGTGTTAAGTCTTGCTGAAGGGCACCTCATACAAGGATGCCCAGTTCATTCCAACACGCCCTGCCCTTGGCTGTGGAGGCTCCTCTCCAATAACTAAACACGAAAGCACCCTGAGCCTCCCCAGTCCAGCTCAGCCCGGAACTGCCTTTCACATCATTGCTGTCCTGCTCATCATTTTTATTGTGGCTTCTCTAAGTAGCCTCACGCTCTGCCATGGGTAGGTACTCACTGGGGACCTCTAAGTGGCTCCCTTATTTTCAAAGATACAAATATAGCAATCACAAAGATCGCATTTTCAACCCATCAAAGATTATTCCTGAGGACCGCTGTTGGTGCTGGGAAATGTGCTGTAGTGTGTGAGGACATGGAAGGAAATTCAGGATACGGTCCTTGTCCTCAGGGCATCTAGTTAGGGAGACAGCAAGACTAAGAAATGCTCAACGCTAGGGAAGAATGAAACTGGTTTTCCCTGAATGCAACCCTGACAGAAGTCATGGTAATGGAAGAGGCAGGAGCAGGAGCGTTGTATGCCAGGCACTTAGTCTCTCCCGTGGCTATTTTCAATCTAGAAAAGCTCTAAGGCCTCTCCCAGCAGCAAGGGCTGAGATTCCCCCTGTACTCAAAACAAAGGGCCAAGGGCCGGGGCTCTCATCTTTCTAACACCTTCTGTTTCTCTGGTCTTCCTTCTGACATCTTCCCAGTCCTAATGACAGTTTCACCTAGACCAGCTACTTCCCTTGAATCACCTCCCAATCTCGTGCTTTTGCTTCTGTTCAGTGCCACACTTGAAATCTGTCCAATCAGAGCTCCCTCCCATTTCCTAGTCACTGCTAATGTCCCTAACAGTGGTGTCTGTTCTGCATAATGGCACCCCTGAGAAGGTGATACAAGCTCTGGCCCTTATCCATTAAAAATGCACATACTGTACATAATTTTTCCAAATTCCCTGAGGCACAACTCTGTGAACCCAGCCTTGAACCCTGACCAGCTGTGACACCTGTCCTGCTGCACTGCATGCTCTGGCTTCACCTTCCCCTGACACCTGGCTTCCAGGGACTCCCTGGAAGTCAGTGCCCCTTTGCAGCCCCTTTCCTCTTTCTAACTGCGGCCCTGCCGACCCGTCCTCACCTTATCTCTGGACATTCACACTCTTGGGAAATGCTCCTTGGTACCCTCTGCCTGCAGCCTTTAAGGGCACCCATCTTGAGGTTATGTCCACTGGGGCATCTCTGTATCCACCACTGTGATTCACAGGTACTGCTAACCGTGAGTCACATGTCCAATACTAAAGTCACCATGTCATCCCCCTGCCCCCAAACTGGACTCTGCAACCAGATTTTATTTCTAATGGCACCACTCTTTCCCCATTCTTTCAGATGACTTCTTTGGGCCTTCAGCTCTCACTTATTATTACCCCAATTAAGTACTAAACCGTTTAGCACCGAGAGTATAAATGGAATCGCATTTGGCGCATCTCACGTTTTTCTTCTTCTGTGTCTGATCTTCCCTGTGCTACTGCCTGTGCCTTTGAAATGTCTGTTGAATCCAGGTTCTTTTCCTGGCAGCGCCCCACCCAGGCCCTAATGGTTCCACTTCCTGGGTGTCTCCTCCTCCACTTCTCATCTTACTCTCTGCAAATCTCTGCAATTCTTGTCTTCCTGAAACACCATCTTCACAAAGTGATTTTCCGCATAAGAACCCAGAATGGCTCGTCCAGCAGACTGTGGGCCATGCACACCCTCTGCCTGGCCTCTGAGGCCTTGCACACTGGGCCCATCTCCCAATCCTAGGTCACTTTCCTCTGTGCTCCGGGCCACAGTAAGCATGAAGGGCAGGAAGTCAGCTCAGGGCCTGGTTCCGACTGTGTGGTCTTATGCAAGTCACTTCAACTCTGGGTATCTCAACTTCCCCATGAGTAAAATGAGAAAGTGAGTGTCTGCCTTCCTTTCATTCTATTAACATGGCTGGTTTATCATGATTAATGCCTGCATGGGGTGTAGTGCACATCTGCCATCACTGAGTCGGTGAAACTCACTTCCATGCAACCTCGAAGCCTCCTCTGTTTCCCCGTCAACTGGAATGGCTTCTCTTCTTTTTTTCTGATTAGATCCATTCCACTTTTGTTTCAAAATTCAGCTCACAATTGATTTCCTTGTCATTCAACATTCATTCAACAAACATTTACTGGGCGTCTCCTAAGTGCTGGGTGTAGCTAGCGGTTCTCAAGATGTCGTGCCAAGTGAGTAAGACTGGTGTGAGTGGAGCTGGGCTGGAATCTGGCACTGCTCTTCCCAGGGCATCCTTTTGTGTGGGACAGCAAGATGCCAGGGACCATGAGCCCAGCCGCAGGAGAGCCGAGGAGGCACTCCCAGTCTTGCTTTAAAAAGGTGGCGCTTCAAAGGAATAGCTCCAATTTCTGGGTGGGATTTGGCCCACCTATTCCTTGGCCCAAGGCTAGGAAGGAGGGCTTAAACCGAGATTAAGTTGACTGCACTAAGTGCCCCAGGAATACTGTGTGACTAATTTAACTCTAGCTGTAGCTCTAATCTTGCCCTCAGAGTGACACAGGGTTTTCCTTCATTATAAAAACAATTTCTCTAAGGCCTGACTAGTGAAAACAGTATCTTTATCAAAAGGAATTACAGTTAAGCGGTACATTCCTTAAATAATACCGCTTTAAATATGAAGCATTTCTACAGCATTATTGTAAAGCAACGGGGCTTAACTGATCCTTATTAATAACCAATATTGAAGCAGGCAAGGTGGCTCCTGCATGTAATCCCAGTGCTTTGGGAGGCTGAGGTGGGAGAATTCCTTGAGGCCAGGAGTTCGAGACCAGCATGGGCAACACAGTGAGACCCCATACCTACAAAGCAAAAAACATTAGCCAGGTGTGGTGGCACATGCCTATAGTCCTAGCTACTCAGGAGGTTGAGGTGGCGCTTGAGTCCAGGAGTTCAAGGCTGCAGTGAGCTATGATCATGCTACTACACTCCAGCCTCGGTAACAGAGCCAGACCCTGTCCCAAAATAAAATAATAAAGTTAAATTAAAATAACCAATATTGTAAGCCTTGTTTATATTGAAATCTGATCCAACGTGTCCCCTCTGTGCATTTTTATACAATGTTGTGACCAAATATACTTTCTAAATGAACCAAAGTTGGACCTGCTCATCTTGTAGCTTTGGATGAGCAAATCTACAGCAGAGCCCTGCTCTGCCATGAGTGTGCCTGGATCCCACGAAACCACAGGGCAACTGGTAAATGGATCTTTGAGGTGCAGGATGTCCTGTGCTGGGTGCCTCTCCCAGAGCACACGTGGCTGGGATGCAAACTTCAGATGCTTGCACATTCGTGCTTCCCCAAATTAAATCTGCGATGTGGAATGGGAAGCTTCAGCCCTCTGCTTGAATTAGCCCCTGCTGATGGTGCTGGGACTCAGGGGGCCCTGGAATAAGGCTGCAGAGGGGAGTTACAAAACTAACTTGGTAAGCGGTGGGCTGTCCTCATCTCCTCAAAATCATGCCTTCCTTCTCCCTCCAATTTGGGTTTTCAAGTTTACGTAGCAGATGCAATGCCTAAGAGAAAAAGGGCGCTGTCCCAGGCATCAGAGAATGGTCGGTGGGCACCTTCTGCTATTTCTCAGCAGCAGGCACACCCCAGCCCTGGCCCCCAGCAGCTCCACTCACCTCATCCACAGTCCATTGTGCCACTTGGCTGGCCCGGATGTCAGCCACGCCTGGAAGCAGCTTGCAGTGTTGCTCCCTGCCGAGGGGAAGGTCCCGGAAAGGGTGGGCTGACACCGTGGACATGAACACTGACTGGTGAAGCGCCTGCTGCACCTGCTCCTCCGAGTATTCTGCAAGAGAGGTTGGGGAGGGGGGATGAGGCTCAGGCTCCCAGCGAGCAAGCACAAGTCAGGGGAGGGAAAGTACAGACACCACCAGAACCCGGGTCTTCTGATTGTACAGCATCACCCCCAAGCATACCCTATGCCACCAGTATGGTTTTGAGCAGTGGTCATAGAAGACAGATATTACCCATGCCCAGAAGACTGTGGCTGTGTGCCAGCCACTTTCAAATAATCTCTATGAGATGCTGTTTGATGGCCAAGGAATGGCTGGTTTGTCACTGCCATTGGCTTATCTCTCCTTAAATCAGGAGTCAGAGAAATCAAAGAACCATGCCGAATTTGACTACTAAGCAGACTGGCACACCGAACCATCTGTGATGTGTATGTATACACAAAGAATAATTTCTTCCTGGAAGCAGCCTCACATGTCTCTAAAGACAGAATAAGCCTCCATCCACATCTGGCTTCATAAATCCCCTGGGTGATACTGAACATGCCATGTAGCAAGGGTCCCCATGAGAAGCTGGGAGACGCCAGCTGCTGCGGCTGCAGATCCCCAGAAATGCGCCATGACCACAGCTGGGGTGACATCCTGTGGCAGCCAGGGACGTTGGAAAGCAGCTGAAGCTGAGACATGACCTCCCTAACACAGGCACTCTTAGATGGGGTGCTCTTTTCTGAGCAGCTCTGAAAGTACCATGGTTCTAAGGTACAGAGGACAATGGCTGTTTGCACAAGATTAGCTGCTGCAACCAAGGAGTGAGACCTCGGTGCAATCTCAGTGCACTTCAGCTTCACACTTATCAACAGTTTTCTGTGCTGGTTTTCTATCTTCAAAAGTGACTTTACTCTTGTGTTACACTCCAACATGAAAGGCATGGATCTCAATTCCCTAATTATTTAGCTTAAGTTTACAAATGGATGAGGAGCAAAAATATTATAGAGATTTCAGAGGAAATCAATGCCATTATAACGACGTCTTTTAAGATACTTTCTACACGCATTAGCAAAATAAATCTGCTGATATTAGAAGAGGCTTTGAAAAGATCACGAAAGGAAATGTTTTAAGCCCTCCAGAAGTCTACCTTTTGTAATGCAAAGAGAAGGTTAAATAAGCCGTCACATAATTTAAGATCTATTATGATGGTTTGTGTTTTACTAACAAAATCTGAAAAACCATTATGCAAATATTCCCACCTCAAATTAATTACAGCTTTTAGTAGGTGAGGCTGACCTGCATGGCCACAGTCACATACTCGTTAGTAATCAGAAAACTTCTAAACTATGAGCAAGCTTGTCCATCACTGGGCTTCTCTGTATAATATCACACTCGTGGATCCGAATAGTCATCCTCATATTTACCAGCGTTTGCTGTCTACACAGATAAAGAGACAGCAAAATTGCCAGCTTCTCCCCAATTTTTATGCTTCAGGTGCAAGCAGCAGCAAATTCATCTCTAACTGCGGATCGTCCAACACTGACCTTTTTAGTATGTAAATAGGTTATCTCTTCTGTGTAGTTCAGACAACAGTATGTAAACCTGCAGGTTCTGAAAGGAAACTTCAAATCTTCCTTGAAAAGGCAGTATGTTGGCAAATGTGAATGTTCTTTAATGAAGTTGTCAGGCTGGACAAGGGTCATGTGCAAAACAAGCCCCTGAAACCCATAATAGGAACGTCATAGGGTCAGTCTGCAATTGCAGTGACATAGAAATGATCAAGAGCTTTCCTGGGAAGCCAGGAGTTAAAGCCCTGCATTCTTAGGGATTAAGATCTGGGCCCAAACTGGGCTTTATTCTGGAAAAGAATAATCACATCACTTCATCAGTTGTTTTTGCAGAAATAGTGTGGACTTAACCCCAACATATATGTATTTCAAACGCATGCCCTGGGTAAATTAATCATGCATAGTTTCCCAAATACATAGAACTCTGAAAAGACACAATTAATGAATCGTATATATTAGAAGAACAAAGATGTCAAATGATAGTGATTAGATTTCTGTGATTCACAAATAAAGGCTGAAGTCATTAAAAATGTAAAAGACAAAAGGACACAAGAAAGCCGGAAATCTGTGTGTTCCCAACAAGAAAATTGTCCACACCATAATTCTGGAAGCAAATTATCTGCTTTGGGCGCTGGGACAGACCCTTGGAAAGACACCTAATATGTGGCTGAGTAGTCCTGGGCCTCCTCTGCCCACTGCTTGCCACTCTCAGGGACGGCTCTGGGCTGCAGAAGATGACAGATGGGAACTTCAGTTAGTCCACGTAGCAAGATGGCCTTTAGATGACAATGAAAGAAATGGAGTTCTAGCTTTATGTTGTTCATTTCAACTCAGGCTGGCTTTATATTATCTGTGGTTTTTGAATACAGTTACCTGTGTCCCTATTAAATCAAACTATTTGAAGGTAAGCCTGAATAAAACTGAATTTGAAAATCCACGAATGGTGTGGGGAATAGGTTCTATACGCCAAAGGGAGTCCCCCATGGGCAGTGGGAAAAGATCTTCAGGCACTTGTTGGCTGTAGACCCCCCACCTGGGGTTCAGAGTTTTCACTGGGCATAAGGACTTATGTCTGTTTATCTGCAACCGCAAGTTTTGGGAAATGCTTGCCAGAATCCGTTATATGCTGAATACAGATGGTGTTTTATGATTATTAGTTTTACTGTATCCATTGTACATCATGAGACAGAAAGTTTGAAAGCTGAGCTTTTGAAAACTCAAAAACACATAAGTGGGTCTAGGGAGGGAGTCCCTGGATAGGGAATCTGGAATAATCAGTCTGTCATCTCTAAGACATGCCTGGAGGTGACAGTGTCTGCCATGCAGGGCTGGTGGGGGGGAAAAGGAGAAGGTGCAGAGGCGCTTAGCAAGGTCCCCAGTGTGCTATGAACACTCAGTGGCTGGTACCATCTCAACTGCAATCTGCAAATCTCTTGAGGTCAGGATTGATAAAGGGAAGAGGCCTAATTCTAAATTAACACAATACAAGACTAATTTGCATTTGGCAAGTGCTTTGTGGTGGTTGTGTTGCCTTCTTTGTACCCTTTACCTAGTCTAACGTCTTCAACAGCTTATGATTTTCGGGTGGGATAGTCAGGTCTAGCTGAAAAAATGTTTGCATGTACTTGCCTCAGAAGCATGGCCTGGTGATTTCCCCACATCACAGCTGAATGACCTGGGATGAGGTACTTAATTTCTACGTATCAAAGTTTTCTATCTCTAAAACAGGGTACTAGGAGGGGGACAAAAAATGGAATAGAATAAGAACAGAACTTACACCTCATTGAGTTGTTGTGATTTGGACAACTCCCAGTATATAACATGTTCAATATGTGTCAGATATTATGTTACTGTTATAAATCACAAAGGTATTTTAAGTTGCAACCATAGTGAAGGTGGGGACATACACCACTTCCAAAGCCAGTGTGGCTGGATGTGCCTGAAACTTACAAAATCTGAAGTCCAAACTGAGATTCAGGATCTTGAGGGCCATGTTCAGATTTCACACCTGAGTGGTCCTGGAGTGACCATGCGGTGGTCAGTGAAATCACTAAGTCCTAGTGGAAGGAAGTGAGATCTGCCACTGCAGAGTGGACATCTGCTTCCCAGGCAGCCTGCTGCTGGCGTGTGGCAACCGTGTTAGATGCTAAAATGCTCTCGGCCTGCCAGCTTGGAAATTATGTGACTCTTGACAGGCTTTTAAAATTTAGGGTGATTTGCATTATTTTAAATTCTGTGCATAAAATTAGACTTTTGAAAACATGCGCTTAAAATTTGCATAAATTTTTGTAACATGCAAATACACTGATTTTAACTTTTTACAAAACCCAGCATGGTTTATGTCATATCAGATACTCACTAAAACTTTTTTAATAAATTAAAGAACATAAGCTGATGATGAAGGCATATATTATTCCCAGGAACCATTCTCATAAATCAGACGAATCAGATTCTTCTGTCTTGGGGCACTTTGAGTAAACTGAACCTTCCAGATTTGATAAGGATGTTTGCCACAGTGACAGGGCAGAAGGGTCACTGTATACTTCATCCACCAGAGCTGGCATCACAGCCCTGTTTCCACCTAACACAGCTGAGGGACATGAGATGCTTCCCAGTTGCATGACCTCACTGCAGTCATGACTCCTGCTCAGCTCCCCTAAAAGTCAGCCAAGGAAACTCAGCCAGCAAAAGCAGCCCTCCTACTGGAGGTTTTAACATCTTAATTAATCAAAATGTCCTTTGCACCAGAAAATGAAATGGATATGCAATACCGCCTTTGCCTCTAACACCAACATGACAATAAATAGAGATATCCTTACATGTAGGATGCCTTCTCCTTCCAGAAAACAGAATACACAAAACTTGTAACTTCAGTGGTTTGTCATTTGGGGGTTTGGTTGAAAGAGTTGTTTTGCTACCATTTTTCTTGCAGTGGGTGTTTCTTTTGGATTTTATGGCCTTTAAAAAATATATGATGAGGCCAAGTGTGGTGACTCATGCCTGTAATCCTAACACTTCAGGATGCCAAGGCGGGAGGATCACAAGGTCAAGAGATCGAGACCATCCTGGCCAACATGGTGAAACCCCGTCTCTACTAAAAATACAAAAATTAGCTGGGCAAGGTGGTGGGACCAGATAACCGGGAGGCTGGGGCAGGAGGATCGCTTGTAACTGGGAAGCAGAGGTTGCAGTGAGCTGAGATTGCGCCACTGCACTCTAGCCTGGCAAGAGTGAGACTCCATTTGAGAAAAATATATATATATATACATATATATATGTATATATATATATGAATGACAAAGTGTTTAATGATTTCATTCAAGATGCTCAGAGATGAGCTGTACCTTCAAGTTTCCAAGGCCAACATGTTCAGCTCTGTGTCCAGCTGTAGAGTCCCAAGAGGCCCTGGACCACAGCACTGGAAGACTTGGCCATGGTTCTTGAGTCTAGCAACACTCAGAGAGGAGTAATCCATCTCCAAAGATAAGTCATTACCCTTT